TGACCATCATCTTCATCGGCAAATCCATCGGCATCCCACTTGCGCATCTTTTTGCCGCTCTTGGGTGTCTTTCCTTTGCGGGTTTCGTCGCCTGAGGAAGCATTGGCGCTGGCATTAGCGGCCTTGCGTGCACGACGCGAAACTCGGCCAGCTGGCCCTCCCTTGGCAGTTATGATGTGGTTCGCAACAGGGGTGGACGACCGCGATGTATCCGGGGTGTGTGGTGGCGTACTCTCATCAGAGGTCGCCCCGGCTAGCGCAGCTTGATGCTGCGCTTTAGGAATGTTAGCATCATTACAATCTATGAACCCGCTTTGAGACATACCCTTGAGAAGACCAGGCACTGGTGGCGGCGGGGGACCGCCATTGTCAGACGAAACCAGCGGGTCTTTCTTATCAACCGCATGAGCCACGAATGCCTCCGAAGAGATAGGCCCCGACTTATCCTCAAGCTCCCGAACTTGCTGGTCAAAGTATTTGTCAAAGGGGTATTGTGCTATCCTTGCGCGGGTACTTCGTAGTTGGTCCTTGTACAAATCGATATACAGGGTGGAGATATTGTCCAGGAGTTTATCGATCCAGCCAAGCTGTAAGAGACTCTGATAGACGGCCTAGAGCGAGATGCGGTCAGAGACAGAAGACCTGAGACGAGGTCGGAGACAGCAACATACCACGAATATCAAGTCAAATTCCTTCACCCTTTTCCACTTTAGAGTGTACTTCTCTTTCTTGAAAGAAGGAGCGGCATTGCTCGTTGCCTGAAGCTGGACCTTTTCCTCAATGAAGACATCACTGATAAGGCTGTTAACAATATGCGCCCCGACGGGCGCGTACGACTTCGACCACAGAACCACCCCTGAGGCAGTCAAGATCTCGAATGCTTCCAACATGCTGCTGATAAGTGGATATGCTGTATTGGTGAAACTGGGGTACGGAGGCGAGTGAACAATGATGTTGGAGTGGACGGCGAGATCCGCGCAGTGGGGAATTTGCGGGCGGCAAGCTGATCTGTCGGTGATCCGAAGGGAAGGACTTCAGCCACGTAGAAACACACCTCAACCTTCTCCCATTCTGCGCTCCAGTCACCCCCGATTTGCCGTCTCGGCAACCCCTCGAGCTTTGCAAGACATTCTTTGGCTATTGAACTCCTCTTAACTAGTTTTATTACAACCCAAGAACCATGTACCGCCAGTCGTTCGCTCCACCCCCGGCGCAGTCCCCTCCCCTTCACCATCCTGTGCCTCAGCATGTCTCGACCGTCCCCATGATGCGCTCGCCGCCGCCTCCGGCATCACAGCAGCCTCAGACCTCTGGCTATGGCAACCCATATCAGCCCGCCCCTGCGCAGGGTGGCAGCGGAACGTATGCTCCTGGCTTTGGGGGGTTCATCAATGATCCCACCGCGCAGATGGGATTCCAGGTCGGCAAGACCGCCATGGCAGCAGGACAGGAATATATGGAGCAGAACGTAAGCAGCAGCTTCAATGGTGCCTATAGATGAAGCATTGCTAACCAGGCGCCAAGTTCAATCGCTATGTCTCTATACCAGCTCTCAAGCACTACTTCAACGTCTCCAACTCTTATGTCCTGAACAAAATATCCCTCGTTCTCTTCCCTTGGCGGCACAAGCCTTGGTCCCGTCAACAGGCACGCCTTACAACAGCTTCAACGGGCCCCAATGGCCAGATATCCCAGCAACAATACTCATCCATGTTCCTGCCTCCGCGTGACGATCTCAACTCCCCAGACATGTACATCCCCGTCATGGCACTTGTCACATACATCCTTCTCTCAGCGATGCTGGCCGGATTCCGCGGTAACTTCCATCCGGAGCTGCTTGGTTCGATCACGACCACAGCTATCGCCGTCATTCTGTTCGAGATAATGTGCTTGAAGCTGGCGATGTACATTCTCAGCATCAACAACGAGTCACAGCTGTTGGATCTGGTGGCATATTCGGGATACAAGTTTGTCGGCATCATTGTCACTCTGTTGACATCTGAGATCCTCACTCCAGGCCGAGGAACCGGCGGCTGGGTTGGCTGGGTCGTCTTCATTTACACCTTCCTTGCTAATGCCTTCTTCCTGGTACGTTCATGGCTGTATGCTTTGTTGACGACTGTACTAATGACGCCTCATAGCTCCGTTCCCTGAAATACGTTCTTCTCCCGGACTCTACGAGTGATGCGTCTATGCGCACTGGTTCTATGCATACGGTTGCTCGCTCGCAGCGTAACCGTCGCACTCAGTTCCTGTTCATCTACTCCTATGTCATCCAGTTCGTTTTCATGTGGGTGCTGAGTCGGGAGGGGCCGATGGCGATTGCATCTCGTGGTGGAGCAACTGGTTCAGCATAGGGTCATGTCGGTACCGGGTTGCACATAATGATATAGACGGACCTCATGAAAAGGGATAGGGATATTAGTTCATATTCATGTACGTTTTGTGGAGAGCAGTAAAATCGAATTAAATTACCATTTTCATAGATGAATGTTATATAATGACTATGTTTACTTGCATTTTGTCACGCAGAACATGAAGTCATACCAGAGGGCGGATCATACACGCAAACCATTGGTCGGACGGGGTCAGAGTAAATTAAAAGGGTGCGGGGTCTCGACAATTCTACAAGGTAAATTTTCTACAAGCTCTAGAGGTTTCCATAATAATCATGATAAAAAGATTCAATTTCAAAATTTTCTAGCTAATGACTGTATAGCAGCGCAATCGGAAATCCTATAATCCCACGAGTTAGAACTCAGTCAAACAAGCAATGAGTGACAATATTGTGGAATGAGATGCTCCTCAGAGATCTTGGTGATGAAGTAAATTTCATTGCCAAAGGCATCAACTACTATCTAGGCGTGATAAAGTTTTTTAATCACTGGAGGGGGGTGTGCAAGCAAGGAAATGCAGTCGCAACGTACCGAATGAGCAAACTGTTGGCAGCAGTAGAGTCGAGTGGCATGAATGCGCAAACCTGTTTAGTCTTCAACATGTTAGCGATGAGACTCCATGAAGGTATATATGGTGTCAAGAAACAATGTAGAAGTGAGGATATCAGAATATGTAAGAAATTGAATATCATGCGACAGTGCTGTATAAGAACCCCGGCGAGGGCTCACAGACACTGGGTCAATCGCAAATTACCGCATCATGTAAGGAGGGGGGGGAGCAAACATAAAAAGCTTCAAGGTAGGAAGAGCTTACCAGTTAATGTGTGGAGAGTCCAGCTCCCTAGTGGAGTTAAGTTAGTAAACAAGATGGCGGAGTAGTTCTGGACAGAACAACATTATGTTCTGATGCAAAATGGCTCAAAGGTCGACAGAGTCTGGACCTTTTAAGTTCTGCAAGATAGCAAGAGGAACAAGCAAAGTAGATCGCGTTGAAAACTTGAAGCTTAAAAGCAACTCCATCGGAGCGGATAATATCCGACCTCCGATGGAGCGCGCTAAGGCCGGGAGGCAGCCCTAGGCCGCACGCAAACGCCCCTGGGTGGGCTGCTACTGGCTGCTAAGCGAGACTCTTGTGGGCGAAGGGCCGCAGCACCGAAATTCGCTATCCAGCAGACCAGAGCGACTTGTGCGTTTCGGACGACTTCGACAACCCGACATTTCGACAACAAATTATCAACACCGTCCTCCCGGAGTCTGTCGACCGTGAGTTGCTGTCCGCCCTTACCGTGACCCCCGCAAGACTTCAACTAAGACGTCCCTTTTTGCTATTTTTCTAGGAAGCCTTCGCCATGGCCGATATCGATGTTCAGGTTGCTCAATGGAAGCTGGTTGAGGTTGGCCGCGTTGTGCTGATCCGCAGCGGTCCTTACACCGGCAAGCTCGCTGCCATTGTTGAGATTGTCGACCACAAGCGTGTACGTTTTTTTGCGCATATACCGGAGTTGCTACGAGCGCGAAGGAATCGGATTTATATATATTAGGAGGAACGCGATATTGACAAAATGTGTTGCATCGATTAGGTCTTGGTTGACGGTCCCTCCACCGAGGAGCAGAAGATCGTTCCCCGCCACGTCCTTCCTCTCTCCCACGCCACCCTCACTCACTTCGTCATCCCCCGTTTGCCCCGTGCTGCCGGTACTGGCCCCGTGAAGAAGCTTTGGCAGAAGGAGGAGATCGATGGCAAGTGGGCCAAGTCCAACTTCGCCCAGAAGACCGAGCGCGCTGAGCGCAGGAAGAACCTGTCCGACTTCGAGCGCTTCAAGGTCCTCCGCCTCCGGAAGCAGGTACGTTTACGAATCGCGATGGTGTGACATGCACGGAATATTGGGGTTATATGGGGAAAATCATATGAAAGTGGTCGGGACTATAGGTCGATTACTGGGAAAGAGCCGGAGATATGATGTGCATGGAATTGCAGGAACAAGTGCTGACATGTTGGATTTTACAGGCTCGCTACGAGGTCCAGAAGGCTCACGCTAAGCTCAGGGCGGCTGCTCCTAAGTCATAGACGGTTCATGAGGCTCGGTGCATAGAGTGACAGGGTTGCCTTGGGACGGGGTTATTTGCTGATGGTTTAATTTATTTTCAGCAAAATGGGCTGTACGCATTATTGACAGCATAAAAATGATTCAAGAACCTTTGATATCCTGGCATAGGTTATCCTCGTACGTCATGAAAGATGGAGGGCGGCACGGAACGCCTTGCAATTAGTATATGGCAAATGGTATCTCGGGGTATTAATGATCTTGACATGACCTGGTCATCAACTTAGACAAAAACCAATCCACAAACCCAACTGTGTCCCAGTAAATCAAAACAGTAGAATTGATACGGAGCAATGAATTGCTGCAGATTAGATTATATTTAAGTAATGGAGAATGAACACTTGAGCCAGTAGAAGTGGTGGTTGTACTACGATCTGTAGATGCATCGCTTCTGTGTGTCCGGGGTGAGGGTCCCAATAAGCTCGCTAACGATTTTCGGCAGGATGACATTCACACAGCTTTGCGACTTCCCAACTACAACAAGGCAAAAAAATCCCCCTCATCCACCACAGCCCTTTGTTCCGCGTCTAGGTAAGTTGAAATGGAATTCCTTGCCGCGAAGTTCAATTTTACGGTCGATTTTGGCGATTTCCCGCAGATTTGTGGGTGTACCACGGTCTGAGAGGGACATCTTCGAACCTCCCACCTCCAGCGACCACTCACGTCCCACAGTGCGATTTGCTGACCATCAACTCTACAGCCCTTTTAGGCTCACTCGAATTACAAAATGGCCGACCCCCGTGTTGAAGAGCTCCCCGACGAGGAGGTTCCCAAGACCAACGTTGAGGATGCCGGCAGCTCCTCCGAGTCTGAGGCTGGCGATGAGCCCACCATCCCCGGTGGTGCCGCTGTCACCATCCACTCTCGCAACGAGAAGAAGGCACGCAAGGCCATTGGCAAGCTCGGCCTGAAGCACGTCCCCGGCATCACTCGTGTCACTCTCCGTCGTCCCAAGAACGTATGAATACGGCCCTGTCCCTCCTTCCCGTGCGACGCTCAACAAAACCTGCACTCGTGGAGTTATTGTGGGCGACGAAGGATTTTCTCAGACGGCAGAGGCTAATCTATCGCATATAGATCCTTTTCGTCATCAACCAGCCCGATGTCTACCGCTCCCCCTCCAGCAACACCTGGATGTATGTGTCTCCTTGGAATATGACGAATTGATGAATCATATCAAGCTTACAATGTTGCGACAGCATCTTCGGTGAGGCCAAGATCGAGGACCTGAACGCCACCGCTCAGGCTACCGCTGCCCAGCAGCTTGCTGAGGCTGCTGCCAACGAGCACGCTGGTCACGACCACGAGCACGACCACGGCAAGGGCAAGGCCCCCGAGGCTGAGGCCAAGAAGGAGGAGGAAGAGGATGATGGCGAGGAGGTCGATGAGTCTGGTCTTGAGGCTAAGGACATCGAACTGGTTATGGCCCAGGCTAATGTGTCCCGCAAGAAGGCCGTCAAGGCTCTCCGGGAGAACGACAACGATATCGTCAACTCCATCATGGCTCTCAGCATATAAACACCGCCGGAAATGAACGCATGAATCGGTGGCTGGCGTCTCTTGGCCCTGCTGGCAGGATGGATTTTGGGTGCGAGGTCAGATTGATATCCCCTAGGATGCATGTACTGTCAGGCCCCATAGTGTAAATCATTTAGCCAAAAGCAGAATTGAATGATGTGAAGCACTATTTGGCATCCTTCCATTTGGTTGGAATATTTTCTAAATTAAAAAAAGAGTACACAAATTATTCCGTAACTGGAGACTTTTTTCAAATTCGAAGTACTATTAAAACAATCCTCGGGCTATAATTGAAAGTATAAACATGTAAGCTCTCCGGACTATCTATACGCACACCCGCCCCCTGCGAACTCCCCTTGTGTAGTGCCAGTTCGGGAACACGGGAAAGCCGTGGTCACGTGATGGCATCCCCATTCCAAATCTTGCCGAGTTCAACCCTCACCCTCCCGGAACCTCCAGCTTCGCACGTTGAACTCCCCTCTCTCCCCCAACCTTCTCCGTTCCACATCTCAAAATGGCCACTGTATGTGGGGATCCTGTTTTTGTCATAAAATTGTCTCGGATGGCGAGAGAAATGTGTCAGCTAACTGCTTGGTGTACAGCGTAGCGCCGCTCTCAAGGTCGACTGGGCCAAGTTGACCAGCTCCCTCGGACTCCGCGGCCAGACCGCTGCTTCCCTCCAGGCCTTCAAGAAGCGTAACGACGATGCGCGCCGCAAGGTTCAGATCCTGTCTGAGCAGGCCCAGACTGTCGACTTCGAGCACTACCGCAAGGTCCTGAAGAACCAGGCCATCGTCAACGAGATCGAGAACCACTTCAAGACCTTCAAGCCCGCCACCTACGATGTCAGCCGCCAGCTGAAGGCCATCGACGCTTTCGAGGCCCAGGCCGTCAAGGGCGCTGAGGAGACCAAGGGCAAGGTTGAGTCCGAGCTCCGCAGTCTCCAGAAGACCCTCGAGAACATCGAGACCGCTCGTCCCTTTGAGGACCTCACTGTTGTATGTTATGATGTCCTAGGATTGGAGTACGCAGGGTTTTGGTACAGATTTATTAATGTCTACCTTTCTCTTCTGTTTAGGACGAGGTTGCCGCCGCTCAGCCCGAGATCGACGAGAAGACCGCCTCCCTTGTCTCCAAGGGCAGATGGATGCCGGCTGGTTACAAGGTGCGTGATACAATATTTGCATTAATGCCTGAGTCTGCGACGAGTGAAACTAATGGATGTCTGAATTACAGGAGCGCTTCGGCGACATGTCCGTTGTTTAAACGGTCACATCTTTTGTACCTATTTACGTCTCTCCATCCTTCGACCAGTATAATCACACGAAGTTACCCTTTGTTGTCAAGCATGTTGGCCAGTTAGGATACCCTTGCTCTCTGGCAGTGTGATGTCGGTTGTAGGGTCATGTATAGAAACAATGTTGAATTTAGATGGTTCCCTCACCACCGGACCGTTTTTGTATATCGGCCCTCGACCGCTATGTTACGCTCCATATCAAGCAGTCGACTATTTCTACCATTGAAGGTATTCAGTACGCACACATTAATATTCGGGGCAAATAATCGTAGCAGTTCGCAAGGAAATTGCGAATAGTGGGCGCCCAGTGCGTGTTATCGACATTAGTCCCATGCCAACACCAAGGGCAGTCAAGATGATAAAATTAGATGCCTCTTTATAACGATCCCCGCCTTTTCCCCAAATTCAAGGCCCAGTTCACTCCGATCGCATTGCTTCCAATTTCGGTCTTGATTGCCGCATTGAGCAACCAGTTTGTTTGTCATGGTCGTAGTTTGCAAGGCATCTGGGATTAGACTCGAGACTTAGCCGATCCCGAGCAGCCTAAACTCTCCGCTCCAGCAACAACACAGGGAATCCCGCACTTCATGGCTGACTCTGGATTGCACATCCACGTCGTGATGGATCGATTATGAGCCACAAAGCCAAATCCTCAAATTCAGAGGCTTAAGATTGCCTACGGCGAACCTATTTGTTATCGGTTCAATCAAATTACGATCTCCACTCTGACAGATTCGCGCCCCTATTTTTGCTTCGCCAGGAACTCAGCTGAGAGACTCAGTGGTCTAGACCTTATTTTGATGACCATTAAACACCGATGGCCCTGTCAATCTACAAGTACTTAAATTCAGGATGGTAAGCTTATCGCCAGTATGATTGTTGGAGCTCAGGCCATCCTCTCCAAGTACCGTCCCTCAAGACTTCATTATATATAATCCTCCAGTATACGGATAGCTACTAGTTGAAGGGCCATTACTATTGAGTTTACAATGCCTAACGTCTCGCAGCCGGCCCTAGCCGGATTATCAGCACTCGAGAGCCTACCAGTGGAAATTATCCAAGAGATCTTCCTCCACTGTCTCGAGGTCAACCTCCCACGAGCCTCCATACACATCGCCCGGGCTCTCTCCAACACGGTCCTATACACCTGGGTCATTCGCTATGTTTTCAGCAGCACCAACGAAAGTGCAAGACAGGGTTTCTTCACACCTGATTTTCTCCCCTGGCCTCTTGATGTTTTCGCCATCTCTCCCAATGAGAGGAAGAACCTGCAAAATGTCATCCTCAGTTGTCGCTGGTGTACACTACCTCTGATCCGCAAATGTCAGAGGGACTACATCGAGCATACGATCCGCCGCAAGTGTCTACAGCTAGATTTATCGCCTGAAGACCGCCAGATCCTCATCAGTATTGGCGAGCAATTCGACAACGATCTACACTCCACGCCTGATGACACGCCCCATGCGCATCGCGGCAAAGGCGACCTAATTCTCAAAGCCAAAATCCCAAAGTCGGATGTGGACTGCAAAGTTGCAGTGTGGTTCGATGCTGGCGCAGTCCAGATCCGCCCATCCAGTGAGATCTACCAGGAGACTGATATCTTCCGGCTACCATGCTTCGCGGCCAACCTACCAGTCCAGGTCCCGGACAAGCTACTTTTTCCTCCTTGGACTGAATCCAAGCTAGAGTTCCTCGAGTTGCTCTCAATGGACGGCTATCTTGACGAGGATCCCGAGCACCCGCGGGCAAAGCGGATCCTCCGACAGACGATTCGAGACCGTGACCTCGCAACGTTTAAGCGATTGCTGAGCATGCGGATTCGCGTGCCGTGGTACAAGTACCCCATTCGGTGGCCGGTCCTGCCAAATCACTTCTACGTGGCTTTGAAGTATGCGGACGAGGTGGAGGACCCTTTCGTCCGGTTGCTGGTGAGTCAGCGATGGGAGGATATCCCATCCGACGACTTTCAGCTCAAGGATCAATTGATGGCTAAACTTGGGACAGGCATCTCGGGATAAGTTGCCAGGATGACCTTAGTCCGTAGACATACTCGACACACAACTACGGGGTATACCCGACTTACTTCGACATTTATATTTTGGTGAAAATTTCATTGCTCGATATGGAAACACAGGATATCAGGCACAGCAAATAAGACGAAAAGGAAACGCAGCAGCAATTCAAAGGAACCACAGAAACTCCGAACTGATATCCATATTTATATCCGTCATAACGTCATGGCGTTCAAGTCAAGGGTCGAGGTCAAGGTCGGAGGACATGTCTCGTATTTAATTGATGTCAGACTCTTGACCTCCGCGTTCTTCTCCTCCTTCCACCACAAGATCCGCAGGTCAGGCATGAGATGATCACGTCGAAGAGGGTAACGACACCGTCGATGATGGCTTTGCAGACAGCACCGATTGTGTTGACAATGCCCATCAGGCAAGCGCCGATGGCGTGGAAGATACTAGTGATCTATATAGATGGAGTGATGTTAGCCAATCATAATTTCACTTGTTGATATATAAAGCAGAAGAGAAGAAAAAGAAGAAAGACATACACAAGAAACCACAGCACCCATATTGACGACTCAACTTAGTATTCCGTTGAAGCAGCAGTAGTAGTTCTCAAGTTGTAGTAGTTGTATGTAGTAGAATGATGATAGATGATAGATAGAATTATTTCGATCCCTTCGGCACCGTAGAATTATAGCTCGAAGAAGCAGGAGTATGAGTAGAAGTATCACTGAAAGGACGCATGTTGATGGAAGAACTCGAAAGTATCACACGGGGATATATATATGTCGTGCAGCGACACTCAGCCGTAATACTCTCTAGTGAATGAAGTAGTAGTACTTTGAAGATAGTACAAGGGGGGACGATCGATGATGTATGATGGATGATGTACTTTGCCAGTGGCTTGCTTGTCCAAGTGAATGAAAAGAAAAAATAACAACCAAAAATAATATGATCGACATACCACCTACATATTAATACTAACCTTCCCAGTTTTTTACATCTTACAATAGTAAGTCTAATCCTTGGAACCATGTACCGTTGTTTGTTTCTTGGGATGAATGCCGTCATACCGACGACAGAACGACGCTGATGTTTTTCACCCTTCGGGGAATTTCCGGTGCGGATCAAGTACCCATTCCATTCAACATTTTACTTTAATTTTATTTTTTTTTTAGGTTAGGTCATTTTTTGATGTGACGACGGAGGCAGAGTGCTTAATTCACGATTAGTTGGTCGCCACTTATGATAAGGCTGAGTTGAGACCCTTGACGTTATGGCTGGTCTTGATTTTTCCCCTGTAGGAGTATATGCAACAGGGGGAGGGGAGGGGGTAGTGACGTCATGACTTGTGGTGATGGTGATTTCCCCCCTGGTTCCTTGTGGCTGGATGGGGATTAGTGGTAGGGTTTGGTGGTGATGGATTGGGTAGGGAGGAGGTCAGGTGAGAGGGGATACCCTGGGATGGCTTTTTTGGGGGGTGTTTGCTTTGTTTGATAGTTTGGCTGTGGATATCGGTGTCTTGACTGTCTAAGATATACAAAGTAGTGAGGTAAAGGGATTAAATGCATGCATAATGTCATTATATAAGAATCTATTTACCTATGTTATGTTATGTTATCGTACACATTACTGTCACCATATCAATAATCTACACATTCCTTCCCTTTTGTACCATCCATCCACTTAGCTAATAAGTTGGGTATGTATGCAGTTACATATTCGTCAACAGCCTCATAATGCCGCTCACTCTTCCTCCCAACGTAATCTGATATCCCGTCTCCACGACTCCTTTACACATCTCCCATGCACCGGTGCCGTCCTGCTTCGCACCATCACCCTTGCGAATAGGATAGTCCACTCTGGGCGGAATCCTCGTCGCCATAAGCTTAGGGAACCGATCCACGCAGACAGCCTTGATATTACTGACACCCCTCAAGCCCTCTTCACCCGCAAACCGACCGTACCCGGATCCCTTGACGCCACCGAACGGCAATTGAACCGCATAGTAACTGCCAAAGTCATTGACCGACACCATGCCCGACTTGATGTTCGCCACGCAGTTGGCGATATCAGTCTGGTTGTAACCGAAGACGCTGGCACCCAGGCCGTAGTCCGTTGAATTGGCGATGGAGATGGCGTGGGGGACGGAGGAGGCGCGCATCACGAGGAAGACCGGGGCGAAGAGCTCCTGCTGGGCGATCTTCATGGTCGGGGTCACGTCTACCAGGAGAGTCGGGGTGAAGTAGTGGCCGAGAGGGTGCTCGGGGTGCTCGAAGCGCTTTCCACCGCAGATCAGACGAGCGCCTTGCTTGACGGCGTCGGCGATGAGCGATTCTAGGCGGTCGAAGGAGGCCGGGGAGATCATGGCGCCGACGTCGGGAGTTCCAGCGGAGGTTTGGGAGTCGAGAAGGATGGAGCCGAGACGAAGACGGGCGATACGGGAGGAAACGATTTCAACGAGTTTGTCGTATGCGTTGGGCAGAGCGATGATGCGCTCTACGCCGATGCAGTTCTGGCCGGCAGATTGGAAGACACCACGCATGAGGATCGAGGCGATGGCGGGGATTTCGCTGACGGTGCGGGAGTCATCGAGAACCAGGGCTGGGTCCTTGCCGCCCAGTTCGACGGTCACCGGGGTGAGAGATTTAGCGGCAGACTCGCAGACTTTGTGGGCCACGGGCTTGGAGCCGATAAAGGTCAATTGGGAGATGTCCGGGTGGGAGGTCAGGTGGTCGGCGACGTTAGGGAGGCAAACGATGCTCTGGACGAGGTCGCGCGAGTGGCCGCAGCTGGAGAGGGCGCCGCGGATGACCTCGAGGAAGAAAGCGGAGGACCATGCGGTTTGTTCGGAGGGCTTCACGACGACACCGTTTCCTGCGAAGATAGCACTGATAACAGGGGAGATGAAGTTGTGGAAGGGGTAGTTCCATGAGACGCAGGCAGAGACGACGCCTAGGGGCTCGTAGGTGACCATGTTCTTCTTGTACATCATGAGGAAGTTTGTCGGGCGCGATTCCGGTGCCAGGGCCTTTTCACCGTGGTCGAGGGTCCATTTCAGCTTCTCAGCGGTAACGAGGATCTCTCCGAATGCAGCGTCGACTTTCGTTTTACCGGAATCCAGGCAGCAAGCGGTCACGAGTTCATCTTGGTGGTCGAGGACGTATCTGTTGGATGAAGGATCTAGGTCAGTGGCTGCGTTGGTCGGTCAAGATTGACATGACATTATGGGCACGCACTTCAGCAACGTCCTCAGGACCTTCCTCCTCTCTGCAAAGCTAGTATTTGCCCATTCAAGTTGTGCGCTTTTCGCAGCCAGGACTGCGCGATCGACGTCGTCAGGAGTTGCGGGTTTGATTCCATTGCCGAGTACTCTTCCGTCCGCGGGACAATAGCTCATGATCAGGTTGTCGTTCCATTGCTGCGCAGGAGGAAGAAGTCAGGAGCATGTCAAGATATTTAGAGGCAGGTATGTTCTGTAAAGGAGGACTTACTCCCCGAACCTGTCCCTCCAGCACTTTTCTTCCCTCCCCTTGAAGGCTGTCCCACTTCTCGCCCTTCCAATTGGCCCGAATCTCTGGAGGAATAGGTACATTGAATGTAACGGCAGCTTCCTTCCTGCCCAGAACGTAGAGATAACCAAGGTACGCGGCTGCGAGCGAGAGCAACGTGACGCCGAGTAGCGGGCCCTGGGTCTGGAGATGGTCCACCAGAGGCAGGAGAGCCGGAGGGATGAATTGGTTGAGTGAGTCCATGATGAAAGTCGCACAGGGCGATTGACTCAATGCTCTGCGTCCCAGGCCCTTCTGCGTGTGTGAAAAGACAGGAAAAAGCGAAAGGGAGGAGGGGACTTAAGGACTGTCCGGAGGTGGTTCGATCGATTATCCACTGCTCCGATATGCGGGTGCACGTGCCAAGGGGGCGGGTTCCATCCAGCTTTAGTAAACAATTGACGAGAGGTTCTGGGCAATTGTAAAGATACGAGAATGTTATTATGTGTTCTTAAGGCTTCATAGCTATTTAAAGGTTTAATTGTTTGACCCTATACATTAGACTCAAGCGGTGCCCCGGAAATTCGGTTCAATGAAATGCCAGACGTAGATCTTCATCAGATATATATAGTGACTGCTACTAGTGATACCTGCGAACTTCATCATCGCCATGAATTGGGCTTGGCTTTATCTTCATTAGCAAAATCTAACTCTACGTCATACAAGCAATGACAACGCCAACCCGCCAATAAACAGTAAACTGCTCTGTACAAAATTCACACATGGTGCTGAGGTTAAAACCATCTCTACTCAAGAACGGCGTTTCCGTCCATTGGATTTGGCATCCTCCGTTGATTCCGTGCTACCTCCCTTCCTCTTTCCAGTTCTTTTCACCAAATGGTCAATCACACAGCCCTCCTCCCATCCGGCAGATGCCTGCCCAGTAATTGCCCGACAACGTGGGCAAGACTTCCCATGACGGATGAGGAGCTGATGAAGCGAATACTTCAGATGATCAGGGATGCGTACTTCGAGATGGCTGAACGCCGTAATCTCCGTTGCTTTGTCCGGAGGCACCCAGCCCAGCCATTTGCAGATACGGAAGATGTGAGTATCAACCGCAAAGCAAGGGCGTTGCAAACAAAATAGCAAGACACAAGCAGCAGTCTTCGGACCTATCCCGGGGTATTTGACCAATTCCACCATGGCGTCCTCTGTGGCTAAGCTGTGAAGATGGTTCAGGGATAAAAAGTTCTGGTCAGCGCATGCAATCTCGTATTGCTTGCCACCTTCGGACTTCGTAAGTAGATCCTTTGGCGCGTCCTCAGAACCCTTCAGCAGCATGTCTCTGCGCTGCTGATTCTCTTCGTAGACCATGTCTAGTATAGCCTTGATCTTCTTGCTTTTGACGTCTGCTAAGCCGCCACGCTTGATGGCTTCAAAGACATCTTTGAGCGGCGCCCGGCGGACAGCATCCCAATCCACACTTCCTTTACCAACACCCTCTTTCAGGATACCAAACCTCTGCACAAGACCGTTGAAAGCCATGGCGGAGTTATTGCCTGTTGTTGCTCCGCTGAGCAAGGTGCGGATGAGAGCATCAAGGACTGATGGAACCTCGCCACAGCCGGTAACAGTGAGAGATGGCTCGGGGATAGTGGTAGGCGCAACAATCTCTCCGTGTATGGTCGAGAGCAATCGATTGACTTCTTCGCATTCATCAGGGGTGGGGTGCGCCCAATTAGGGAATGGGGTAATTCCAGGTGTGAGGCCGTATGTATTAGTCTTTTTGAATCTCTTCTCTTTTTCTCTAGGCTCCGAGGCCGCTTCTGTGGCCTTGTCCACAGTGTTCTGCAAGGTATTAGAAATTGCATCTATCTCTTCTTGCTTTATATAGGTGTCGCGGGTGTCTAGCTTGATTGGAGCGCTCTTATCTTGCAGCTCGGATAGCAGAGTAGCCGAACCTAGGTTGTGAGGAAGTTCTTGAGCATCATTGACTCTTGTAGTTCTGCCGTTTGTCTCTAGCCTTTTGTGGGCAGATTCGCCCACTATTCCGTTGCGCTTCACGGGTCGACCGCCAGATGTAGCGGTGACGGCTCTTTTGGATGATTTCTTGAAGACTGTAGCATCCGGGTCTGATACCTTGGATGGCTGGGCCTCTTTCTGCTGCATCTGAGCAGCAAGCAGCGCTGTCTCCCGCGCAGTGGCGGAACGTGTCATACGAGCCATAACTACTCAGTCAATGACATGTAGTGGATGAACGACAGTGTCCAAGTCTTCACACGGTAGAGGCAAAAAGAGAAGCCGACCGGCACCTTGGAGATACCGCGCAAGTTTGATTCAAATCACGGTGTATACCGCTGGCTGAGGGACGAGGCTAGACAGATGCTGCATGACGCAGGAGTCGCCAATTGAATGGCGTTTTAAGTCAACACCGTAATAGTTATGCAAGTCTAGAGGTGGTGGCCACGCGAGATGATCAATCGTCGTCACATGATCGGGGAACCTGCAGGGCCGTCCTGCATTTACGTCATCCTATGAACATATGTCCGGTTGCACAAGAATTTTCATCGGTGGTCTATATATTCGTTAAACGCAGGGTATCTCAGCCCTTCGCTGTCTTTGATAACAAAGCAAATGGCCTCCCTATCTATCGTCCACCGTCTACGAACTCCAAGACTCCAGACCACATAAATGCCATGAAATGGTTTAGAT